ATCCAAAATTTGAAACGTAAGAAAACACACTTTGAAACAAAGAAAACATGGAGCATAAAAAAACAGAAACATACCGCGTTCGTTCGCAGAATGCTCGAAAACAGCGACCTGGCAGCAAGCATTGTTCAGCAAGTGCCTGAAGCAACAGCTTTTGAATACAACTTCGAAAACCGAGTACATGGAGAAACCTGAGTCTGTTATATACAAATTTTAACTTTCTATAAAAACCTGCGCCATAGCAAGGGGTACAAAATCCAAAGTTCTTCAGCGTTGCGGCGGCGCGCGTGCGGCTGCTGAAACTTTTGCAGGGGCGCACTATTTAACTGTTGCTTCTTTGCTGTCAAAAGCGGGAAAGAAAAAGCGGGAATGTGCCCACTCGGCGGGCATATGCCCGCTTCAATTACCTAAAGCGTTTGCCTTACCTATGATTTAAATTTGCTTGTAATTCGCTTCAGAATAAAGCTTGGAGCCTGATATTATCCAAGTACATGACAAACGGTCGAGGGAAGCCACATAGCGAATTTGAGGTATTTTGTTCATCTTTTTCAGCGATAAGACCAATTAATTTATCGCTGACAATATCATGAAAACGAATTGTTTTTAGGTTACCACAAGAAAAGTAGCTTGAGAATCGCCGTGCGAAATTTGAGGTACAATTTACTAAAGGCACAATTTCAGAATTCAATATCTCAGCGAAATCATAGTCTGGAAGGCCCAAACAAGGACTGAACGATAGTATTTTGGACGTAGAATAAAAATCATGCTGTCCCAGTTTAGCCCGAAATGTGCAAGGCTTACAGCTGACAGCCAGTTTTCTGTGATTTTTCAGGAAAAGTCACAATTTCAGAATTCTGTATCTCAGCGAAATCATAGTCTGAAAGGCCAACAAGGACTGAACGATAGTATACGCTTGGCTTTTCGCCACCTTTACTCCATATGCGACGTTTTGCTCGATATTCACGCTGGGCCTCAGACTCGGCCAGTAAGGCTGAAACCTTGTGTTGTGTTAGGTCCTTACACTGTTTGTGCCATCAAAATTTGAGCGCTGCAGCTTTTCAAAAACTTGAGTTATAAAACAGACAATGATTTTTCTTAATAATTAATTCATTGAATCTCGGATTCAAAGCACAGTTTTTCCTTTCGGTCATTACGAAGTAGGCTCAAATTTACAGTTCTATCGTGGGCTTATCACATGTGCATGCGGCCACGTTGAGCCTCTTGATGTGGTACTATGGACCTTTCTAGACGTGCTTTCGTTTCGCTCTACTTTCTTGAGTATGCCGTTGATAACCGTCGACGTAATGTTAGTCTTCCCGATTACATGATGAAGTTACTTATACCAGGTGATGCTCTGCTTTGATCCTGTCATCATCACTGTATTTGTGCTTCTCTTCGAAAGCACACATGCCGTATTTTATGCGACGAAGATGGATGCTGTGTCGACCACAGGATTGCCGCGTCTGTCCGAATTGAATCAAAGAATTTTTCATGAAAACGGATTTCATGGTGAAGTGTTTGGATTTGCAGCAAAGCGTGAGGAGGAATGTGGGATCGTGCTGCTAGGTACATTAGTACATAGATTATTTGAGATTTACTTTGACTTCTTTCTGAATACCTGACATTAGTTTGAATTTTTGAGTGATTGTCTTGAGTTGGACTGTTCAAGAACGAAAAGTGGTAAAATTCAGATTATGGAAGCTACACAAACGGAGGTATGTTTGATCATATATTGGAGAAACTTGAAGAGACTCTAAAAGATAACAATACACTAGATCGAGCTCTGAAAGTACATCGCTATCGGTTATACCGAGATTAATGTATTATAAACGCAGATTTTGACAATGATAAGTTTGTCAATAAAAAGGCAAGCTGCACAAAAGGAACGAGCCTTGAAAGAACATATGGAAGAAATGAGCAAACTATTCGAAATATATGGGAGTAACACACCACATTACGAGTCAGTTTTATTAGTACGATAATCCACTTTTACTGATAAATTTTTCGAATTCAGCACGGCGCAAGTAACATTTTTTTGGCGGACTTGGGCTCATTGCTTTTGGAATAAGAATTGGAATCGGAAAACTTGTATATGATGGTGTGACAATTCTGATGCGTAGTTTTGTAAAAGGCGAGCAAAAGCAGGTGAGTACTCTGAGTAATCGGCTTGCGAAAGCGCCGTTTTCAGCACCTGGATGGAGTTCCTAGCAATTTACAAGAAATTTGATAATCTGGCAAAGATATCGGAAGTACAAATTAACAAGTAAGAAAGAATTGTGGAATCAATTTCTCATCTTCATAAATCCAAAACCTTCCTCTTCAGGAATCGCTTTGAGTCCTTGTTTGCGCTTGTCAGAACGCAAGCTCTTTGCAGGTCAAAACGCACTAGACGACTTGTTCAGTCATGGGCGTGTTGCAGATCAATTTAATAGTCATCGTGGTGACAATATTCTGTTATCAGCTATCGCAAGACTTATGGGCGAGAAGCTTTTCAACGCATCCATGTTGAAAGATAGATATTTTGCCTCTGGCAACACCTTGATAGCTACAGTGATCTCAATGAACAAACACTTGATGGAAATAGAGGCAAGCATAAATCATCTAATATAAAGAGATTGAGATATTAGGAGTTGCTTTCAGTTCTGCTATCCAAACACAAAAGATCAGGATGTCGGATATCTATGCATAATGCCTTTAGGCAAATTTAGCGACGATGGTGAGACGTATACCACTCATGATCTTGACGCGCATTATATCTTGCCGCTGTCCATGAATGGCAGTAACATTAGCGCACTTGCAAGAGTCGATGTCATCCGTAGCGACTGTGATAGAATGCCATCGGTGTTCCTCTGCAAAACACAGCCCCAAAGCAACCTTGCACTTTGGATCGAAAAAATCGCGATGGCTGCGCTTTGCTAACTTACGATTTCACTAGAGAAGATGTAAGTTAAGCTGCTACATTTGTTATTTATATATGCATTTTAGTTTACGCTTGTCCAGCCACTGCTACCATAGTGCTCGCTACACGTTTGAAGAATACGCACTGTCATGCAGTGGGTGAGACGATACACACCCCTGTTGAAGTTCTAGAGCCGGTCACCGTGGTAGAGATACCGAAAGGTGGAGTACACTATGTGGGCTGGCAGTGGTGGATGCACGGGTGACAACAGACAATTTGACAATAGAGCTGCAAATTACGTTACCAGTGAGCGGACATATCATATGACTTGAATGATTTTTCTGAAGCAGCTATCTCTCAGGTGTCAAATATGTCGTTTAAGCCTATCCTTGGTCCTGACGATAATCACGATGATGGAGCAGCATGATACAGCTATGGATGCCACTTGAATAGTCTCTTACTTGCAACTTTCAGTTTGTTAATTGTGCTCTCCCCGTTATCAGTAAGCTTTTTCTTGTGGAGTAAGTTAAGAGCGATGCGGCGATGGGTTGAAATCCAAGAATTACTCAAAGAAGCTCAGAGAAAGCCAATAAAAATGGTTGCTGTTTGAATGTGAAGTATAATTGGATTAGAAAGTGGACATCTTTGTATATAATAGATATTAAAACGAGTTGTGTATCGAATCAGAAAGTGTTTTCATCACGCTCAGTATATCTCGCAAGCTTGATTGCAAACATAGTGATGTCATTTGCATTATTATGCTATCATAAATGTTTCGTTTTGAAGCTTTGTAGGTCTTGACCCGATAATTTTTGAAACATCAAAAATGGCTGAACGTGTACGAATGGCACAAAAGTACAAAGATGTTTCGGAGATCGGCCATGCAGCTAAGGAAAGTTTTGAAAGACTCGAAGAGGACCGCACTGTGAGATTTCTACCCCCAAAAATATTTGAAGGTAATGGATTTTGATTGTGTTGCAGGAACTTGTTGTGAATAACAAGTACATAAATTCCAGAAATGTTCTATCCTAAATTTTCGAATGAGGGAACTCATTTTTGCATCGTATGTGGAAAGCAAGGAGAATTCCCTTTGCACGAACATTGCTCAAGGCGCATAAAGATGAGCTTAGAAAAGGAGCGATGGATTTTAAGGTAAGTTCAGTGTATGATTTCTAAAAATTTCAACTGTCTATTGTTAATTAATTAATTATTTATGATATAGATTGTCGAACAACTAGGACGTGGCATCACACAATACATGGATAAAGCAAAAATAGACTTATCTCTCGTGCGTAATCCAGCAACTTACGGAGAATGGTGCATTTATCGCGATCTCACACAGCAAACTGAGAATTGTGGAATACCAATCAAATGGGCAAGTGAACAATGCATTGAATCTATTTGTATTATTTTCTAATTTGAGATTCAAAAGTTATTTCAGGAGTTTTGTGAACGTGTTGAGCGAAACAAATATGCGCTTAGTGCTAAAATGAATGTGGGCATGCAGAGACTAGAAGAAAGCGTTGAAGAAGTAAGCATATATAACGACAAATACTTGACATATATACATGTGATAAGGTATACAAATATTTTGCAGATGGGGCGCAAACTAGAGTTAAGAGATGTGATGCGCGTGGAGAAGAACCTAGTACATCTTACGATCACATAGAAGAAGATGCCCTAGAAAGAGAGAGGATTGCGGTTGATGTGATGGAAGCTGAATCCACACCGAAGTCCCAAGCTATACAAAGTTTCGAGGCTAGTAAAGCAGCGAAGCAAGGTACTTCACGAACGGCTACGCCAAAAACAACAACGTCCACTTTCTACACGCGGTTTGGAGATGAGGCTTTTGAAGGTTAGAATTTAAATTAAAATTTAAAAGGCAATTTAAGAAACTAAGAAAATCACATACGAATACCTTTTATATGAATGTTACAGGTGGACCAGTGGAAACAGTGTTCAAAACTGCGCCAAATGTCGAACTTATGTTTTCTGTTATGAAATGGATGATCAAGCACCGGAATACTATAAGGAGGAGTACATTGTGCCAAAGAAACAAAAGAAAAGTGAACATTGACTATTACTCGTGAATTATGCCATGCTATTCAATCACTGCACCTAACATTTCAGAATGGCAGGGAAAAGTGGACTCGAATTGAAGTATTATCGTAAACTGGATGGAAGGAAGCATCCGTTGCTTAGAGAATTTGGAGAATATATTTCTGAAGCATTGGTAAACCTATGTTGAAGCCGTCTATATGTTTACGAACAAGCGCTAACTCAAATTTCGTCTTTGTTTAGCCGGATGCTTTGGCAAGGAAAGGCAATCCATTGAAGGTACATGAGGTTATGTGGCTTGTATGAATCGGTTTATGCTTGCAGCTATGAGAGCGCGAAAATGGTACGTTGTTTCTCAAATTAAGAAGCTTTTTTTGGCATTCCGTATTTTCAGAATAAACCAAACACAATCGACGATGCAATCTATTCGTGCGAAATTGTGCATGCATATATGAGGCGTTTAAAAACAGAAGGGTTTAATGTGGGCTCTCGTAAAAGTATGATGAAAGCTCTTATTGCTTTTAGTAAGTTTATAGAGCTACGACTTGAACCACATGAGTGATGGACTCGATGCTTTTGATACTTTGAGCATTTTGTACTGATTTAATTTACAAGCTTTCGTTATCGGTTTACATTTAAAAGACATGATTGCAGCAGCCGGTCGTGAACGTCGCGAAGTTTTGAAACATGGCCAAAGGCTATTTCTGTACTATATAGCGAGACTGAATGTCGAAGAAAAGCAAGCGCTATCGTTTCAGGGTATTGTACCCAGCGAAAAAAAGTGTCAGTTTATCCGCTTTTTGTAGCGTTATTTCATACATATAATTTGTAGAAAGGTGAACCCTACTGTGTTGCTAAGCTGTGGTTGAGCATAAAGGAATCGCAGAAACTGTAGGGAAGATAATGAAGATTTTTGAACACAAAGGGACTTCGCAGCCAGCACAATATTAATGTGCTGGGGTTTGTCTTGTCTTTGTGCGCTTTTCTGCCGCTGATTTTACGACAACATAATTCTAGTGCACTTTGGTGCTACATTATTCACTGCAATACAAGCAGGAATGAGTGTATCTACAAAATGATGTACGGAAGTATTTGTCGGTCCGAAGAAGAAGATGTAACTTTGGTGAATGTATGGGAGCGAACGGGGCTATAAGAGTTCGTCATGGATTTTGGCGATGACGTTGAAGAAAGGCTTTGGGTGAGTGCATCCGTTGTTGCACCATTGATCTACTGCATAGACTAACACGTATATGTTTAGATAAGCAGCTATCCTGTCCCAAAGAGCAGAGCTAGGGCTGCACAACAAAAGCTTCCATTTTATGGACAATATTTTGTTCCTGATGAAAATTCGAAAAAGTGGATGGATTATTATATAAAGTTACGAGGAATTAGTGAGTTAAAATTAAATCGAACATACATTTTACATACTAGCAAGGTGTTTGTCCTTTCTTGCAGCACTATTGAAAAGCAGCAGTTAGAATGAGTGACGCCACTTGCACCGTTCTTTCTACCTATGATTGTGTTGGTTCACCATTTCAAACAAAAGTTATCTTGCGAAGCTACCAGGTCATATCTATAGCTTAGCAAAGAGGTTTTCTAGCTGACTGACTGGTACACCAAAGTTAGCAAAGAAATCTCAGCTTTTCAAGCTCATTCACGTTCCGGCATGAACTGAAAGAACAAGGCGCACTTCTGCACTGCAATGCTCCGAGCATACCAAGCAGAGGTGCGATAGTGGAAGCCGATTCTCCCCTACCTTCACTTTTGAGCTAGTACATGGTGACCACCTTCACTTTTGGAATAAAAAAATTTTTTTTGGGTGAACGATAAAGAAGGAAAATAAGCACAAACACAAAAAAAGATTATTGAAAGCATATTTCTATGTATACGGCGGCATATATATTTGAAATAAACGTGTATAGTAAATGGTGTATTTGGAAGTAAAGTCACCGGGACTGTACGGATTTTATAAAGTAAATCTTGTTATAAGGTACTACGGAGAAAGTAGGTCGATCGAGGGAATAACCGCCGAGAACCAGAATTTTAAATTATAAATTAATAAAAAATCATGCGAAATTTCCACTGTTATAAATTTGGTGTTTGAAGATGTCAGCAATTGCGACTTTAAAGGTTTTGAAGAGTAAATGGTGGTCTATCAGAGAGTGAAAAAATCGAGTTGATTTGAGGGATATCGTCGAAAACCAGAATACTAAAGAATTCCACCATTTTAGCTTGTTTAGTGACAGCTGATAGTTAAACTCATATAAATCTTGAATGTGAAGGTGCGATGTTACGACTTCATAGTTTTTGTATAGTAAGGTCTGCCTATCAGAATATATCTTAGCAGTGCCGATTCATTAGAACACTGCCGAGAGCCAGATCCTTGAAAAAGCAGGTAAAGAAGCGCTTTTCAAAATTCAACATCTCATAACTTCTTCAGTGCGTGATTCATGTTGCGACTTCATACGTTAGATTCTTTTCATCAAGAGCTTTCAGACAATGTATATGTGGGGGTTCGGTGCCTCCTACGACTTATGCCCGAGGGGGAAACTTTTCATCACTAATATTTCCCTCGCCCACTCCAATGTAGGCTGGTAGCCGCCAGAGGAGAATTAGTGGATGAAAAGTCTCCCTCTCGGGCATAAGTCGTACAGGAGGCACCGAATCCACACGTGCTATA